GTTAAAGTTATAGAACGTTCAACAGGCCATACACGTTATGAGAAAACATGCAATATAACTTTAAAAGATGGGAGTGCCGTCCTCTCTCCCAGTATCAAGTGCCCACCCCGGACCTCTTCGAGTTTCAAACCAGAGACACGTAACGACACAGCCCGGGTCGCGGCTCTTTGAAAAGGGTTCCCTTAATCACTTCTGTAAAGGAACCGGCGCACCTGAAAACAAACTCGTTATGAGTTGAAGAGTTTGGTCACTCGATTGCTCTGATGTAATCCACTCTGCCACGAGGTTAACACATTGAGGACGTGTATTTGGGCCATTCGCCAACGCTTGAACTTGAAGACGAGCTACATAATATGTGTTTTGTGGCACTTTAAAAAAGTTATTCATGCATGAGGTGTTTTTTTCCGATTCACTTTTCTTTATCTGAACTTGAAAAGGCAGGCAACAGCACGCATACTATTATGCAAATTCATGTTTCTCGTGTGTGTGTGGTTGTTCCAAATGTGCCGCAACACTGCCTTTGGCCTGGTGCTAATGGGAGACATTTTTTGTCCTCTACGTTATTTAAGAGTTAACTATTCTCAATGAATATTATTATACACGTACTTATTTGGGCTTTGTATCTTTAAGAATCAGTAACACCCTGAAAATTATGTCTGTTTGATATGTATGCTTCCCAGGAAGCTGAGATTGTTTCAGAATACTGTCAATTCTGCCCGGGCAATAATTAATTATTATATACATACCATATTGTAAAGCGCATGGAACTTGCTGTTGAGCGTCTGTTTGCTCTATAAAAATGCTATCTATTATTATTACTTGTCACCTACAAGATGTAAACATTACAAACTCGTTATGAGTTGAAGAGTTAAGTCACTTGATTGCTCTGATGTCAGCCACTCTGCAACAAGGCTAACACTTTGAAAACACGTATTTGGGTCATTCGCCAACGCTTGGAGACGAGCAATAATAATATGTATTTTGAAACACTTTTAAAAAAGCCTAACTTCGTAATTCATACATGTTCCTTTTAACTGTGAGTCTCACCCCTTTTTCTTCATTTGAACGTTAAAAGGCGGGCAACAGCGCGCATACTATAATGCAAATCCATGTTTTTGTTGTGGGTATGGTTGTTCGAATTGTTCCGCAACATTGTCTTCGGTCTGCAGCAAGGTTTCCTCAGTCCCGTCTGCAGCTATCGGAGACATCGTCGTTGACCCTTTCGCAGCCAGGCCCGAGAATTGAGTGATGAAGCAAGTCTTCGAGTAAAAGCGCATTCCTGCTTATCATAAATCTTAATTTATAGAGATAAAAATCAATTCATTGTGGGCCACTTTTTTGTTTGATTTTAGGAATTTGGTATCGTCGTTGTACCCTCTCCACCGACAGCCCAATAACGGCCCACAATCTCAACCCCATAGCAGCGAAAGGGACAGTGAGCTGACTTCGCAGAGACGACTTTTGTGTTTCAAAACGTTGCCCTCCCCTGCAGACTCTCAGACCGTTTCCCCCCTCAACCACGCGAACTTGCTGGGTTAGGTAAAAAAAAACCCACCTAACTACCTACCTTCAGTGATTTAAAAAAGACATCTAACTTTGCAGAAATAAGGCCAGTAAATATAAAAGCAGATTAGATGCTTACACATTATTATTATTGAATACAGTGTATTCTATTAACATCTAGGGTTACGTCGCAAAAAAATAGTCAATTGGAATTGGAATTAACCTACTGTGATTACCCATGACGTATGCACATGAACAAAACCCATAAAATGAACAAATTTGTCTATCTTTAATATCTTATTAAATCTGATGAATTTAAAGTTTTTGCAACAGCGTTTGTGTTGCTAACTGTGGGCAATTGGGAGAGTTATCGGTGGTATGGGAACGGCCGGGCGAGGCCTTCTCAGAACTGAAAAAGCATCTAGGGACGGGGAAATGGGGTGAGGGTAGGGGGTTGGGAGGAAGGGTTTGGGGTGTGTTGGGGAAGGGGTGGGAGTAGTGGGGTGGTGGAAGGGTTGGAGAATGGGTGGGTGGTTGTGAAAGGGAGGATGGGTTGTTGGTGCGGGATATGGATGAGGAGAGACAGGTGAGTGGAGTGGGGGTAGGGGTGAGGGAAAGGATGGAGGTGTTAGGGAAAGGGTGGATGGTTTGTTGGAGGGGGAGAGGGATGCGTGAAAGGGGAGATAGGGTATACACAGACA